TCCGACACTGAATATTGATGTCAGGTGCTTCTGCTAAATATTTAGTGAATCTTGATAAAATTCAAAGAAGAATCTGCAGTATTAGCAGTCCTGACATGGCATCTTGGCTTCATTTACTTTTCTACCACTGAAATGCAGTTTTCCTGTGTCTTTTCATGCTAATTTGTTCTGAAAGCTTTCCACTATGGTATTTTGATTTTATGAATTTAAGTACAATACTAGATTGGCAGCTAGGGTTCATCATTTTATAGTTGAAATTTCTAGATGTAGCCATAAGTTCTATGCTAACAGTTTTTTCTCTTGCTCTTCTCGCTTGTGGAACTCTCTTCCAGCTTCTTGTTTTCCAGTCAACTTTGATCGTCAAAACTTTAAATTCAATGTCCGTCATTATCTTCTGCCTCCTTAATTCCTGTTCTTTTATTGTTCTCTCTCCTTAATAATATTTTTCTTTTTCTCATGTTGTTTCACACTCAGTAACCCCCATGTGTCTTAGTGGCTTTATTGCCTTGCTTGAAGAAAACATGTTAAAGTAGGACAACTAGAAAAGAGAAAAAAAGAAAGAAAGAAAACTGCAGCTGCAGTAATTGACAAAATAAAAATAGAACCATTCCTGGATATGATGATAAACTACGTCCGGCAGAAAGATCCCTCATCAAGGAAATGTAGGTTTTGTGGAGCATGAAACAACTTCTTAATTGTTGTTGTTCCCAGGTCCACCCTCACTTGGGGTGATAGCATCTTTTAGAGTCCCAGCTATGGGCAAATAGTGACCCGCCAAAAAAAAATAAATAAATAAAATGAAATGCTATAAAAGTATAAAAGTAAATTTTTATAGTAAAAATACCAGCAATACATTTTTATATAAAAAAAAAATTACCATCAATATCTATTTATAGTAAAATTACCAACAATACATTTTATCTGTAGTTAAAGCCATAAAATTCTTAAAAATATTTAGATTTTGGCATTAAATAACCCTTAGAAGTAGATATTCCACTAAATGAAATCAACAAACCGATCAATTCTCTCATCAGAGCTCAATCATCAAAATAAAATACTGTGTACACTGATTAAAATGTGAAGGTGGGAAAAATACACAAATATCAATATGTTGACATCGATCTACTTATAAAGACTTTGACTCATTAAGCAGTGCATTAGTATAAAACTGATAAATATAAACAATTATATATTATGGTTCAGAATGGCATAACCTATACTAATGCTTCTTAACTAGTCAAATTGATGTGAATCCTGCTTAACCAATAAAAATCAAACCACACAAAAGTAAAAATACCAGAATTTCTTTCTTCCTCCATATCTCATTCTCTGATGAAGCTTTAATAAAAGTGAAACACGTTATATTGATAAAAATTTCCTATTTGTTCATTATCTTATCATTCTGTTGGATTCCAATCCATGTTTGATCAATATTTCATCCTAATTCACATATATATATATATATATATATAATCATATATTTGGGCAGTAATCTCTCTTTTATTCTAGTTTCATTGAAGGGGACTGATGAGGCACTGCAATTTAACTTACCGTCTGTAGATTTGAGCATTTACAACTAATCTATTAAACATTATGAAGTATGCTTTTCTGTTTAACAAGTTATGTAGATTTTTTTTGATTTTATTATATATGTATATATATAGGGATGAGAAAATTTTTTTAATTTCCTAACAGATCAGAATTGTGTGGATATGTGTGTGTATGTATATATGTGTGTATATATATATATGTGTGTGTGTTAAAGATCAAATGCAGCTCAGTTTTCTCTCATTCTCTGATGAAGCTTTAATAAAACTGAAACATGTTAGTTTGATATACATTTCCTATTAGTTTTTTTTATTATATATATATATATATATATAGGAAGAAAATATTTTCAGCATATTATGTATATAAGATGTAAAAAGAAACATCTCAACTTAGAAGTCTTCTATTGGGTTTCATTTTTTTTTTCCTCTGATAAGCAAGAGATTTTCAAGCTTTACTCTTTCTGGCAATTATTTTGTTTCAGGCTTTACTCTTTTGACAATTTTTTTTCAAGCTTTACTCTTTCTGACAATTACTTTGTTTCAAGCTTTACTCTTTCTGACAATTACTTTGTTTCAAGCTTTACTCTTTCTGGCAATTACTTTGTTTCAAGCTTTACTCTTTCTGGCAATTACTTTGTTTCAAGCTTTACTCTTTCTGGCAATTACTTTGTTTCAAGCTTTACTCTTTCTGACAATTACTTTGTTTCAAGCTTTACTCTTTCTGACAATTACTTTGTTTCAAGCTTTACTCTTTTCTTGACAATTACTTTGTTTCAAGCTTTACCTTTTCTGGCAATTACTTTGTTTCAAGCTTTACTTTCTGACAATTACTTTGTTTCAAGCTTTTCCTCTTTTTCTGACAATTACTTTGTTTCAAGCTTTTTTACTCTTTTCTGCTTTACAATTACTTTGTTTCAGGCTTTTACTCTTTCTGGCAATTACTTTGTTTGCTTTACTCTTTTTTTACTCTTTTGGCAATTACTTTGTTTCAAGCTTTACTCTTTCTGGCAATTACTTTGTTTCAAGCTTTACTCTTTCTGACAATTACTTTGTTTCAAGCTTTGCTCTTTCTGACAATTACTATGTTTCAAGCTTTAATTGTTCGGGCAATTATTTTGTTTCAAGCTTTACTCTTTCTGTGACAATATCTTGTATTATCCTATTTTCCAAGCAAGTATCATTTCTTTTGCTTACTCTCCAGGTAAGTTTTGCAAAATAAAGGATATGCCCCTAAGGTGGCTTTTATTTTGATTTCCTTCTATCGCAGTAATCTTTCCCTACACAACAACTCTGCGATCACATGTTCCCTTACTAACTCTAGTACTGTTTAATGACATTCAAAAATACTTAAAAGAAATTTTGTCAAAGATTTTTCTTTTTTAATATCAGTGTTTGGAAATTTAATGATAAATTGTGAAAAAAAAAATTTTGTGTGATATGTTTTGTCCTTTAAGACTTCATCAGGCTAAAGTAATGTTGATGTTTATCTCTTCTACACTCTCACTATCCATTTACTCAATCTTGCTATGTAGATTATACATTGTTTTGCTCTGTCTCTCTTGGCTTCAAGCCTGTGAGTATCAAATTTTCCAAGCCATCTTTCCTAATTATGTGCCCTAAAATTTCAATTGTCTGTTTCTGGTTCAAGGCGTACATGTCCTTTTTATTTCCATTGTTTCTCACATGTTCAGTCTATGGTATTCTTAGCATTCTGCTGTTTCTAAATACAGGTTGCAAAATAAAATACATTTACCTTGATGAAGTTCATTAGAGGCTGAAACATGTTGGTAAAGAAAAGTTTTCCTTTAGGTTTAATTCAAATTGTCTTTTTATAAATACATTTTATTCATATCTGAATTTATACGCACACACACACACACACACACACACATCTATAAGTACATAGAAAAACACAAAATTACCTCATAATGGGAATAGACCTATTTCAACCAACGAAAAACTTTGTCAGTCTTATTCAACCCTGGTATATAGACTGAGTTTACGTTGGAATTAGAAATTTAACTAGTTAAATTTCTAATTATGACATCAAACTCAGTCTATATACTGGGGTTGAATAAAACTGACAAAGTTTTTGTCGGCTGAAATAGATCTATTCCCAATATGATAATTTTGTATTTTTTTATGTACTAATTTAATTGCTCTGTAATAATAAATACATTGAGCTCTTTTTGTGGATCAGTTTTAACATTTTATATTGCTAAGATCCACTTGGATTATATACCAATTGATGTATTACCTTTACTATATATATATTAGTTTAATGACATTTCTGGATTCAAAGGACTTTTTGAACTAGAATTCCAAAGTCATGAGTCCTTGCATACATACTAAAAATTCCTCTTAAGCACATATGAAGCTGGTGGGGATGTATATTTCAATTACTCCCCACTCCACCTGATACATTTATAAGACCCTTGCTTTTCTTTGCTTCCCTCTTCTTCACATCCTCCTCCTCCCTTTCTATCACACCTAATGTTGTATGTTTATTTTTTTAAATTAATATAACATTGAGAGGTCAGTTGATAGAAATCATCTAAGGATACCGTAAGGTTGAAACCAAGGTAGTGGATTCAACTGACCTCTTAATTTTTTAAGTATATAAGGTAACAATTGCTCCTGCTGGACACGATTGTCAGGTGGCCTGATGATTGTGTCCAGCATGAAACAGCCTGCTGCCCTGAGTGTTGACTTCAATGTTCACTTTTATTTATATTATATTTTCAGAGATTATCAAGCGATAGTGTTGAATATACATTCAACACTATCACTTGATAAGACACCAGAAATGTTGAAACAAAATGGCTATTTTTGTAGTGATTTTATAAAATATTTATGTCATAATTTTCGAATAAATAATTATATTTGCTCTACTCTGTATTGAGCAGTCTTTTAAGAATAGTTGTTGGTTATTGGAATTTATTCCATATACATCAATTCTACACTTGCATATATATATATATATATATATATATATATTTTTTTTTTTCTCACTGGCAGCATGACTTGGAGTTTCATGCATAATGCTATCTTCAGCTGCTGAGTTAAGACTGTTGTTTAGTTTAAATTTTGTTAAATATATCTAGTACTTGAAATGATGATGTTGTCCATGTTTTATACAGGGATTTTTTTTTTTAATTTTGTATTTAAAATAAACATAAGTAATAAAAAAATATAAAGATTAAATTGTATGAAAGGTGTGTGCATTTACAATGAGGACTTCTCTGGAAACAAGCAAAGTTATGACAAAGAAAAGTCTAAAATAAATATAACTGCGTCTCAACAGAACAGCTGCACATGGCCAAGGGTGGGCGAATCTGAGGGAAAATGCAGGGTCAAGGTAGGCAGAGACCCACAGTGTTTGTTAGAAATCAATAAACTAGGAAAGATTTTGTGAACTGTAGATAAGCAGAAAAGCAGTGTAATGGAATATTAGAAAAGTGTGTCTGTGTAAAAAGAGATGAAAGGATTTTGGTCACAAAAAGAAAGAAACCAACCAAATGACAATTTCAGTTCTGTGGAAAAAAACAAAAAAACAAAAAGGAAAGTGATAGAAAGGCCGTACAACAGGGTGACATAGATATCATTGAAAGGGGTTAAATTGTTCTTTGCTTAACCCAGTTTCCAAAATCTGACCAAACATAAGATTTTGTGGTTGAAGCGTTTATTGATCAGACAAAGAACCTTTTGGCACCACTCATAGAGAGACATGAATCGATGGAGATAGAGAAACATGAACAGACTGATAGATAGATATGAACAGAGTGAGATAGATAGATAGATAGATAGATAGATAGATATGAACAGAGTGAGATAGATAGATAGATAGATATGAACAGAGTGAGATAGATATGAACAGAGTGAGATAGATAGATAGATAGATATGAACAGAGTGAGATAGATAGATAGATAGATATGAACAGAGTGAGATAGATAGATAGATATGAACAGAGTGAGATAGATAGATAGATATGAACAGAGTGAGATAGATAGATATGAACAGAGTGAGATAGATAGATATGAACAGAGTGAGATAGATAGATATGAACAGAGTGAGATAGAGAGATATGAACAGAGTGAGATAGAGAGATAGATAGATATGAACAGAGTGAGATAGAGAGATAGATAGATATGAACAGAGTGAGATAGAGAGATAGATAGATATGAACAGAGTGAGATAGAGAGATAGATAGATAGTGAGATAGAGAGGAGATGAACAGAGAGATAGATAGATATGAACAGAGTGAGATAGAGAGATAGATAGATTTGAACAGAGTGAGAGAGAGAGAGAGATAGATTTGAACAGAGTGAGAGAGAGAGAGATAGAGATGAACAGAGTGAGAGAGAGAGAGAGATAGATTTGAACAGAGTGGAGAGAGAGAGAGAGAGATTTGAACAGAGTGAGAGACAGAGATAGATAGTTTTGAACAGAATGGAGAGAGAGAGATAGATAGAGAACAGAGAGAGAGATAGATAGATATGAACAGAGTGAGATAGAGAGATAGATAGATATGAACAGAGTGAGATAGATAGATATGAACAGAGTGAGATAGATAGATATGAACAGAGTGAGATAGATAGATAGATATGAACAGAGTGAGAGAGATAGATTTGAACAGAGTGAGAGAGATAGATAGATATGAACAGAGTGAGAGAGATAGATTTGAACAGCGTGAGACAGATATGAATGGATTGAGATATAAGCATGCTGAAAGGAATAGAGACAGAACAGATAAGGATATGAGGAAATAACTCACTGATTTAGGTATAAATGCAATTAGATATGTAGAAAGACACTGAAATAGATGTGAACAAACTTTAATAGATAACTAGGGTGGTTAATGCAGAATTGACTAGTATGTAAATGAATTACAGTTGAGTCTTTTAAGATTTGCTTTGTAAAATCCACATGACAACTTGGGCAAAAAATACAATTTATACAGTCAAAATATTCACCAATCATACTTGGAAAGGACCCTTTAGTCTTGGTGCAAAAATATCAAAGATTAAAGATTTAGAAAAAAAAGAAAAATCAACTGTAAAAGAATGAAATGATGAAGACTCTGAAGATAATTTTGTTCTTTTCTGTAAAACATTAGTGATCATAGCTCTCCACAATTTCCTGTCTTTTATAGCTCTTAATAACTTTGTCTTTTTGTCATCTCACCCATACCCTGCTCCATCATATGTTCACAAGTAGGTTGTGCATAGTTTTTCTCTGGCCTTCTTACCTTCAATCTGTCCTGTGGGTATCAAATTTTCCCAGCCCACTTTCTTCCAACTGTCTATTTCTGATAAGTGTAAGTGTCTTTTTTGTTTTGATTTTCTCTAAAATTTCATCATTGCTCACATGTTCGGCCCATAGTGTTCTCAGCATCCTTTTGTAAAATCATATTGCTTAAGACTTTTTTTTCATCTGTGAGAAGATTGTCTGGCATTCCCTGACATATAGGAAGACTGATATTACATAACCGTTCAATACTCTTTTCTTTGTTTCTTATGAGATTTTCCTGATTCTTAATAATTTGCTTAACTTTTGAACAGTCTTGTCTACCCAATTTCACTTACATAGCTTGGGTTAACCTGTGGTGTGGTTTTCAGTCCAAAGGTACAAACATGATGGTATCACCATCCCAAACAATGAGAGGAAAAATTAATGAAATAGTGGGGAGGAAACAAAATTACATTACCATAATTTAGGCTAAAATGGCTAGTTGGGCTGTGTAGATTTGAGCCCAATCGAAGCTAGAGACATACTTAATAGCAAATATATTTCTTGCTTTAATTTTTTAATTAATCTTTTAAAAATCTCTAATGACTTCTATGCCCTGTTTTTCAAAGAACACATTTTTATTTCAACTTATTGTTTACAAATGCCCATTTTAAATAATTTATTCCATGCAGTATAAAGTTTTTAGTGGAATGTATCTTTTGAGAAAGGGGAAATTAAATTTAGCCTGATTTAAATTTGACGAAAATCAAAGAAAGTGGCAGCCTTAACTAATCAACTGGAGGATTGGGGTAAGGAGTGTGACTGGGGTTGTGTTGAGGAAATATGATATCAATCAGCAGAACTGATCATAAATGTACAATAAATTAAACTAAAAGTTCACAGACAGAGAGATACATAAACACACATTCTGCCATCAGTGACTTGATAAGCAGGCTATAAAACAAAAAAAAAATGGAAAGGAGATAATAAGCAGACAAACATATGAAAGACTTTATCCTCACTCTATATTTCTTACCTCTTTATTTTTATAGAATTATTATAATTAATATTAAAATACCAAAATGTACATTATTTACATTATTCGGACTATTGTCCTCATCTTTGTTGCCATATTTATTTTATACCAGCAATACTTCTTTGGAAAATTATTTACCAGCAATACATTTTTGAAAAAAAATATTACCAACAATATATTTTTGAAAAGATATTACCATCAGTATAAATATTGTTGGCATTAATTAACCTATTGAGGTTGATATGCCACAAAACAAAACAAAATAAAACTTTTTGTCTGATATATGAGCCAAAGATAGGATCTGATATGATTGTCTTTTGAAACTTTTGTTTGTAACAATCTCAGCAAAGCCAAGATTTCAGTTTATTATCTTTTAATCTTCTTGTGTGGCATTCAAAACCAATATGTGAAGATTTCACAGTTGATGGAAGAAAGGTTTGATTCAAATTTTGGTAATAATCTCTTATCAAAGCCTGCCTTGGTGCAATTATTCTCTTTTGTTTATTGTTCTCAGTGTTCAACATTCTTGTGTTTGTTTCTATTGTTTGTATGCAGAGCAACGGAATTTGAGGTTTATAAATGGTGTTCACTACTGACTTTGTTTCCTCTCCTGCTCTTGTTTGTATTTCATCGTGGACATTTGTGTATTTCTGATAATCCAAATTAATTTCTGTAAAGTTGTAGAGTTATTTGTCAACTGGCAGAAGTTGATTTTGCCCGGTGGCAAGGTAAAATTTGTCTGTTGTTGGATTTTACAAGCAAATAGTAATTGTGTGATACTTTTAGACAAGTTGAAAAGAAATTAACATAAAATTTTTCTTTTCTTCACTTAGCAGGAATTTAGTTAAAAAACACATAAAGAAATGGATGAATAAAAATATGTGATTTGTGGTTGAATTTTGGAATGACTTCCACAAGAATGTATTTCCAAATATGGAAGTCAGCAAACAGACAAAGCAGATCATATTTAAGAAATGTAAAAGTGACCATATTTCCTGATAAGAGGGATTCTTTAACCTTTACAACTCTGCACTAACTTTCAAAGTTGTATCCCCTGGATTCATATTAATTTTGAGTGTCTTAAGTTTTTGAGTGGTGAGTATATTACTAGCACTGTAACTTTTAGGGTTTTAGAGATATTCTTATAAAATTTTCAGGCTATTTGCATGAAAGGATGTAGAAAATGTAGACATTTTTTTTTTTATGAAATGGTCAAAGTCCGACAATTATTTTTTAAGACATTTTTTATGAAAATTTCTCAGACATTCAGGCAGGTAAATGTTGTTTAATACTGTTTATTATAAACAGAGCATTTACTTAAATATTTGTATCTATAAAAAGAATGTATAAACATAAAAAATGTCTTAAATAATTGTTGGACTTTGTCCATTTCATAATGTGTGACGTCATTTGTTTACATTTGCATATGCATTGAGCAGATATGAATGTATGAGAGAAAATCATAGAAAATTGTGTTTAAAAACAGTAAAATCGACCTTGCTAACTGAATGCTTCTCTGTGGCCCAATTGGTTAAGGCACGTCAGGCTATATGACAGTTTCATATAGGATACAGGTTCGATTCCTGTCAGTGGACACATATTTTCTATGAAAATTTCTGGGAGATTTAGGCTGGTAAATGTTGTTAATACTGTTTATTATAAACAGAGCATTTACTTAAATATTTAGAACGTATAAACATAAAAAATGTCTTAAAAATTTTTTTTTTACTGTATATATAATAAATATCAAGAAAAAATAGAAATCATGAAAACTAAAAAAAAATACAACACTTGATAAAAAAACGATTCCTATTCATCACATTTTGAAAGCTTTGCATATATAAAAGAGAGTCTATTGTCCAGTAAGATGAATACAAAGGCCATTTTGTCAGATCTATCAGCAAAAGCAAGGCCAAAAATCCTTTAATTTTTTCAAAACAAACATTTTTCGTAGCTCTGATTTGCGAGTTTGGTTTTTTCTGTGTGACTGAATTTTGTTTTCAGATTATTTGTATACCATTTAGTTTCCACTACCATTTAATTGAAGATCTACGTCAGATAAAAGAAAATGAAAAACGTCTGCCTCACTAGCTTCTTGATCATCATTTGTAGGTCCAGGAGTATAGGAAAACTCTGGTAACCACAGGTGACTATATGATTATGATGGTTTGAAAATTCCACCTTCTTGGTCAGAATCACTTTCAGTCTTAGTCATGCACATCACCAATGTCTGTGTAGGTAAATCTGAGAAATTCTTCTTTGTCATTCTCACTGTCCATGAAAAGTTCCTCTTTTAACGTAACGGATACATGTCTTGTGCTGGGGGTTGCCCATTGTAATAAAAAAAACAAAAGTTTTTAAAATACTTTATTAAAATTTCCTGATAAAATAACTATTTCAATTAAGACAAAATGGCTGTCATCCGGTCATTCCCAGTTCATATCACAAGCTTAATGATGTCATTTCCTTAGCAATAGGTTATTTTTAGAAAAGTATTTTCCCTTTGGCACAAAGCTCTGTCTATGGGGAACATGTCTGACTTGAGAATAGTGAGAGAGAGTAGCGCTGGCAGTTATGTATGCCTGCAGAATTGTAAAGGTTAATGCAATCTGAATGAGGACTGGAATTTTTTTTTTCTTTTTTGTATAATCAAGGAAAGGCAATAAATCCACTAAGATGCAAGTGGTTACTGCATGTGAATGTAATAGTAAAAGAAAAATGACATTAAGGAAGGGGAACAATAAAAGAAGAATCAAAAAGACAGTAGATAATTTTTAAAGTAAAGTTTAAACAGTAACTAGGGTCTGCTCAGTATAAATCACAGATTGTCCATGTCACTGTTGAAGAAAAACAGTTTGTGTCTGAGCAGATGGAAATGATAAGCTATGCTGAAGATCAGAAATTTTTTATTCATTGCACCTCAAGCAAGGCAAAAAAGCCACTAAGACGCATGGGTGTCACTGAATGTGAAAGAATATAAGAAAAAGGAAAACATTATTAAGGAGAGAGAGAGAGAGAGAGCAATAAAAGAAAAGGAATCAAAAAGATAATGATTGACATTGCATTTAATTTTTTTGAAAATCAATGTTGGTTAGAAAGCTGGAAGAGAGTTTCACATGCAAGAAGTGCGAGAAAAGAAACTGTTAGCAAAGAACTTATGGTTACATCTAGCCAATTCAAGTTTAAATTGATAAGACCTTGTTGCCAATCTTGGACGGCGCTTAAATTCAAAACGTCTAGGTACCATATGAAGGGAATTAAAAAAAAAAAAAAAAAAGGCAAAAGGAAGCAACATTATGGCAAATGTAAAAATGACTGAAGCCAGGATGCAGTTTCTTTGGATTTTATCAAGAATCTCTAAATATATAGCAGAAGCACCAGACCATATGTGGCAGCAATATTCTAAGCCTGGATGCATGGTAGACTTACAAATATGTAAGATAGATTGTGTATAGAAAA